CCGACACTAAAGAGGCTCGATGGGCGAGGAAGAGGGAGCACCAACAGTTTGAGGCAGCCCAAAGATAGTCCATCATTAATGAGAAGATGCAGCAACAACGGGCTCGTGAGGTGGATGTTGGCCCATATGGTGTATTGAGCACTACTGATAAGGGCGCTAGTGGTGGCGTTCCTAATTCTGATGTAGCAGGTTTCAGGAAATCGGACCCACCCCCTTCTAGATGGGTTTTCGGCGTATTTGTGCCATAGGTTTTCTTCACTCTATGATTTAATTTTTATTTTGTGCATTGAGGGCAATTGCACTTTATTTTGTTGGAGTGGGGTAAATGGGCTGTAAGTGATAGGGTGAAGTCTGAGTAACCCAACTCATAATCCTCCCTTGGGGTTTCTTGCCTGTGTTCTTTTTCCCGAAGGGACTTTTAACATTTATGTTGAACCAAAATGTTAAGGATTGTATGTGTAGAAGTAAGTAGAAGAAGGAAAGCATGATGCACACGAGTATAAAATTGATACCCGTCCAAAACTTTTGAAATGTGCAAGATCTATATGCTTAATGAGTTGAATGTGTTGGATCTTCATATGACATGATAAGGAACCGATATGATACCATGACTTAAGCTAGAACTTGAACTAGGTAATTCAATGATCCGGTAATGAAATAATGTTCCAAGAGTTTATGAGTAATGTTTGAATGTTAATGTTGTATCTGCCAATCTAGAACTTGCCCTGTTAGTCCTGCTCAGATAATCTAGGCTAGAAGTTGGGAAATGATCATAGGCACTTGAACAAATTAGTCCACTAAGGCCTAAAAGTCAACCAAGAGAATTAAATGCTCCCCTCTTATCCAAATGTGTGAGCCTAACGAATACCACTTCTTTCAATATACCTAGCTCACCTTCCCTAAAAGATTGTTTTGGCCCTGGTCTCTCCTTGGATATGTGCACCTTGACGTAGGCCAAAACCCTAAGTTGAGGGTGAATAATTCAAAAGGTTACCTCAATCTTGGCCCTGGTCAAACAACGGATATTGTGTACCACAACTCATGTAAAATACATAAGTTGAGGGTGGCTATGAAAAAAGGTAACCGAAATAAAAGGCTATCAAAAGAGTTGTGTGTATAAGAAAGAAAGATAGAAAAACATGTAACTGAATTCAAAAAGAAGAATGTTAAAGATGCTAAAAGACAAAGAAATATGAAGTAATAGAAAAAGAAAAAAAAAGTGGAAATAGAAGAGTGATAAATTCAAAGTCACATATGTGTTAAAGTGAATCAAGGAAAAGAGTTGAAAATAAAAAGATATATAGATTTGGTTGACAAAAGAGGTAAAAAGAAAAGAGTTGAAAATAAAAAGATATCCAGAATTGGTTGAGAGAAGAGGTAAAAATCCAATGTAATGTCGAGGAGGGCAGAAAAGTCACTAAAACAACCCAAATGTACCCTACCTGACCCTAAGCTTACGTTACAAGCTAAGAAAGTTCTATACTGATCGTAGTGACTAGTTTGGAGAGTCTATGCGGTGAAAATAAGGGCAAGCCTATGGTATTGAGCACTAATTGTACTTGAAGTCACCACTGAGCTTGAGTGTTGAATAAATCCTTAGAACTTGAAATTCAGAATGATAGTGTGAAAAAGGATTTCTTTTGAAGTGATGGCACTAGTTACATTGTTGGAGAGTTGGTACCTCGGTGATTGCGAAAAGTTTATGTTTTGATGTCTACTGGTCTATCTATGTCATATTTTGATCCACATGAGTTAACTTGTCGAGTCTAGATAAAAGATTTGCACTTAGTGATGGAATTGATTGAGATAGTCATGTGATTGCTTAAGTTTGTATGTTTGCTTCTACATAAGTGTCGTTTAGAGTTTAAGTGTGTTGCTTGAGAACAAACAACAAGTTTAAGTTGAGGGTGTTGATATACCAAGAGTTTACGGTATTTTTGATGCATTTCACTTAAAGTTTGTGTGTGTCTTAGGCTAGTTTTTGTATGTATCTTGGGCTAGTTTGTTATAAGAAATAATTTTTTGTGTGTAATTTCTGCAGGAAATAAGCTTGGATGCGGTTGATGAAGATGTGACAAGAAAATTGTAGAAGTAGCCAATAATGTAGGCAGCCACGAACCGTATGTCTAGTGACGGGACGTAAATGGGTAGTCGTAGGTCCTAGTAAGAAAGTGGATTTTCAGTACTCAAACTACGAAGTGATAGGACGGACTGTAGTCCAATCTACTGATCGTAGGTGGAGTTGTCGGTTGAATGCACTAGAATAATGCTTGAGTGTGGAACCACGGAGGGTAACCTATGAACCGTAGGTCGAAAAGTCAATAGAAACCGCGTCTGAGCAGTTATTTCCTTATTTTGTTTCCTACTTAGTTTGGGATTTGTTTTATGTAAATATTAGATGTAGTTCTCGTTTATGGAGGTTAGAAACTATTGTAAGGTTTTAGTTTTATTCTTTTGGGAATTAATTTTGCAAACACTTAGCAATTTAATTTTTGGAAGTTAGTTTATACAATTTTTGCTTTTAATTTCAATCGAAGATTTCGCGTTTCGTATATTCTAACTGTATGTTCATAAAATTCTTCTAACCTAATTATGAATTGTGAACTCTCAAGCATGAGTAGCTAAATCCACAACTAGGGTTGTGGGAACCATGAGTAATTAACAAGGTATGAATAATTATTAAGTGATTTTTGAATAGTGTTTATGAATGTATTGTTAATCCTTTAATTTAGATGTCTTTTTAATGATGGTCAACATTACAACCCGCCTCGTTCCTACATTCCGGACCAAGGAGGTAATGAATGAGAAAAGGATTAAATAACAAAGACTTAGTGGATTCTATCTAATAATCTGATTTCAATTAAAATAAGGGTGAAAACTAAACTAAATTGATATGATGACTAATCTAGGGTAAAGATAAGGGTCAGAAAGGCATACACCCGTTGATGGACCAACTTGCGCGGTGAATTTCCCTACTTAGAGGACCAATCACTTAGGGATACCTAACATACCAACCTTGCATGTCAAACAGTAGGAGATGATTACTATTATTAGGATTACTGCGTTAAGAGCTCATGGGGAACACATATACCCTTGTTTCCATCTCATATTGATAACTCAAACTGTGAATCTTGTTTACTTGTTACTTAAGCATTCAAATATTTTACTTATTTAGAAAATCCCCCTATTTACTTTTCTCGAAAATAGTCTGACTAAACGGAGATAATAGTGAGTTAAGTTTAAGACTGAACCATATTCCTCGTGGGATCGATCCCAACCTACAAGTTGGGTTCTTTACACAACAACGACCACTTATACTTCTTTGTTGAACTTTTGTCAAGTATTTCCTAATTTTACGTTTTTGTTTTGTTTTTGTTTGCCATGGATTTCAACTCTAGTGTATGCCAAGTACACGGAGTCGAGGGAAACCCTTCACCCCATACGATCCCGATCTAAGAAGAACTTTTAGAAAAATGGCAAATCTTGGGGTTCATGATAATCCAATTGTTGAGGGTCAGGAAGAAGAAGCTAAATTTCAACCTCCTGGAGTTGTTAATGTGTATGCTCTGGTTCAAGGTGGCCGTCTGGTCAAAATCCAGAAAACGTACAGAATCAACAAGCAGTGAGGTTTCGGGATCACTACAGGGTCGATTATGATGTGGTTGGGTCAGATGGGCCTATTGTTCTTCCTCCGATACATCCAGAACATACATTCTTGGTGACTAGTAGCCTTTTACAGATGCTTACAACGAGAGAGTTGTTTGCTGGGTTGCCTTCAGAAGATCCATACGCCCACATGGATAAATTGTCTAGTGTCTGCAAGAGTTGTGTGGGATGATCATAATTAGATATGGATGTGATAGGGTTGCGAGCATTCCCATTGTCATTGATCAGTGATACTGTTGTGTGGTTTTCTGAATTCCCATACAATTCTATCTATACGTGGGACCAGTGACATAACGTGTTCTTAACAAGGTACTTTCCAATGTCCAAGAAGCTAAATCATAAAGATAAACTGAATTACTTCGCAGTACTACCTAGAGAGTCAATAAGCAGTGCTTGGGATAGGTTCACCGTGTTCATGAGAAGTGTTTCGAATTACTGCATAGATGATGAGTCATTGAAGGAGTACTTCTATACAGAACAAGATGACAATGAAGGAGCTATGTTAGACACCATTGCTCGAGGATCATACTGTGAGTGAAATTTTTAGGAGATCCCTGAGAAACTAGAAAGGATATCCCAGAACAATAAAGCATGGAGCACTAGAAATGCCAATACTGGTAGGAGCACCTTCGCTATCCAAACTGCACCAGACCAATCTAATGATGACATTCGAGAAGAGATGGCTCAAATTAGGACAGAACTGGTTTTGTATTGTAACACATGAGTGGAAATGTAGAAAAGGTGAATGATGTAAATTATCTGACTAGACCTCCACCACAACTAGTTGAGGAGTACTACTATGAAAAGGATGCAAATTTAGTGAATGATTAGACGGGGGGTTTTCGAACCAACACTCAAGGTTCCAACTCAGAAAATTGTCGCCAAGGTCAAGGAAAACAATGTCAGAACTATGGAAACTACAACCTGAGGGAAACTATGTCCGGGAGGGAAACTACAATCGTGATAACAATTACAACTGAAATAATTATGGTAACAGGAATGATAAGGTTAGTCCCTATGTTACCCCTGGTAATAGAGATGTTGTCAATAATATGACTCGCATTAAGGATATGATGCAAAAGATGATGAAGAGGTTTGATGCAACAAATGAGAATGTGAGAGAGATGCGTAACAACTTGTCTAGAATCAGTCAGAAGGTGGATGCACATGCAGTGTCAATCAGGCAACTTGAGCAATAGTTTAGTCAGTTGTCCACTATTGTAAATCCACGCCAGCGTGGTACACTTATTAGCAACTGAATCCAAAATTTGAAGAATTATGGGCATTGTGTGACAATCACGACTCGCAGAGGAAAATAGACTATTGATCCCCCCATGCCATCTGAGGTTGAAAGAGTGGTAGAAACAAATGTGGATGACACTGACCTTACTGAAATTCCAAAAGATGATACTAAAAAGGAAGCTGAGTTTACCCAAAAAGTTGTTCCCATGGCTAGACCTCCACCTCCATTCCCAAAAAGATTGGTGAAAAAGACTGAAGAGGGTAAATGCCGTTGGTTCATAGTTATGTTAAAGCAATTGTCCATAAATGTCTCGTTTATAGAAGCTTTGAAGCAAATGCCTGGGTATGGTAAATTCATGAAGGACTTGGTGATCGAAAAGAGGGCCATTAGTTTTGAGAATGATGAGAGGCTTCAACATTGTAGTGCTATAGCTACTAGGTCACTTGTGCAGAGAAAGAGGATCCTGGTGCTTTCACTATTCATTGCACCATTAGGATCTTACGATTTGCGAAGGCTTGGTGCGACTTGGGTGCCAACATTAATTTGATGCCATTATCCATCTATAAGAAATTGGGTTTAGGAGCTCCAAAACCGACTGCGATGTGTCTACTTATGGTCGATAGAATTGTGAGGAGGCCCATTGGAGTGCTCCAAGATGTCCTTGTGAAAGTGGAGTCGTTATTCATTCCGACAGATTTTGTGATACTTGATTGTGAGGTTGATTTTGAGGTTCCCATAATCTTAGGGAGACCATTCGTTACTACTGGTCGCTCCTTAGTCGATATGGAGAGAGGGCAAATGAAGTTCCATCTGAATAATGAGGAGCTTAGTTTTAACATCTGTTGGTCTATGAAGTATGAAAGTTATCCTAAATCAGTATCTGTGATGAATCATACTGTGGTACAAGGTTTATAAGTGTCTATTGAAGATAGGTTGGGTTTTGATGCACTAGCAGTGATAATGATGAATTTTGATAGTAATGGTGTTGATGACTATGATGAGATAGTTGATGCACTTGATAGGCTGGAATTCCTCCCCAAACCAAAAAGAATGGAGTTAGATATGAAGTATCGAGACTCTCCGCCTGTAAAACCGTCTATAGATGAGCCTCCAAAACTAGAACATAAGGCCCTACCATCCCGCTTGAGGTATGTATTCTTGGGGAGAGATAACACTTTACCCGTGATCATTGTTGTTGATATAAGTGAAGAGCAAATAGAGGCCTTGGTATCTATATTGAAGAGGTTTAAGAGGGCCATAGGATGAACTATTGCGGACATTATTGGGATCCCATGATGTGAGGCCAAAATACATATTTTTAATCATTATTTTTCTCACATTTATTATTTATTTTTTTCCTTTTTGAGCTTGAATTTTATGTATTGTAGTAAGTAGTATATTTTATTTGTAGGATTAACTTGGTGGAAAAATGAAGAAAGTTGAAGCTAAAACGAATTAAAGATGGAAGGTTAAAGAAGGAAATCAAGCAGACAACTTAATGGATTAAATTTAATATAATAATATAGAAATATATAAGGTGCATATTTCCTGCAATTTGTGTATTGCAAAAGGAAATTTCCACGTGGCAATTGATGAAGCCAATCAAAGTTGGAATTGGAATCGGAAGCTGCCACGTGGCAGCCAATGAAGGCCCCTCAAATAATTTGAGGCGGTTTCACGAAAATTAAATAGGAATTTAATTCCTTCTGGTTTTGGATTTCTAATTTAATTTGGAGTCACTTATTTTATTTAGGGTTTTCTTTATATATAAATAGTCCATAGAAATAATTATGTTGGAGGAGATCATTTATAGGGATACTTTTTAGGGTTCTTTTCTTCTTCTTATTTTGGGGTTAGACTATATTATTTTAGTTCTAGTTTTTAACTTTGGAGATTAACTTGCAACTTTAGCAATTCTTAATTTCCTAAGTTCGTTTTGAAGCTTTTGACTTTGCAATTCAAGTTGAGATTCTAGGTTTATTCTTCTCATTACATAAGTTCATGATTTCTTCATCTAAAAATTTGAATTGTGTTCTTGCTACTATGGGTATCTAAATCCACAACTAGGGTTGTGGGAACCATCAACGATTAACACCGTATGAATAGTAATTAAGTAATTCTTGAATAGTGTTGTTGCATGCATTCATAATTCTTTTGTTTAGAAGTCTTTTTAACGGTGGCCAATGTTAGAACTCGCCTTGTTGCTACTTGTCGGACCAAGGAGGTAGTTAATAAGAAAAGAATTATCAACATAGAATTAGTGTGATACTATCTAATAGTCTAGTGTCGATTGGTGCGAGGGTGAAAACTAAACCATACATCGATGTGATGTCTAATATGATGTAAAGGTAAGGGTTAGTAAATTAAACACACGTAGCCGGACCAAGGTGCGGGGTGAAATTCTCTAGTTGCCGGACCAAGGAAATAGAGATACGTAACTTATCACTTTGCATATAATACACTAGGAAATGATTACTAATACTAGGATTGCCGCGTTATGAGCTTGTGGGGAACACGTACACCGTAGTTTCTCTCTCATCTTGATAACACCTAAAGTTTGAATCTTGTTCATTGATTGTTCACATAATTTCTAGAATTTGTTTCACAAATCCCCCCCACCCCACTCTTTAATTACTTGTTTCGGAAGTACGTTGACTAAACAAATATAATCGTAGGTTAAAGTTAAGTCTAAACCATATTCCTCGTGGGATCGACCTCAATCTACAAGTTAGGTTCTTTACTTGATAACGATCGGTTATGCTTCTTTAAGGAGGTGTAATTTGAGCGTATCATCCCACCAGGCATTTGTTCTCACAAAATCCAACCCATGACGGACAGTAAGCGAAGTATTGAGTATCAAAGGACACTGAATCCTCCTATGAAAAAAGTTGTGAAAAAAGGAAATCATTAAGTGGTTGGATGTTGGAGTGATATATCCTATTGGTGATAGTAGTTGGGTTTTCCCAGTACAGTGTGTGCCAAACAAGGGAAAAATCATTGTGGTTCCGAATGCTAAAAATGAGCTTTTTCCAATGAGACCAGTGACTGGTTGGAGAGTGTGCATGGACTACCACAAGCTGATTGCATGGATTGAGAAAGACCATTTCCCCATGCCATTGTAAGGGTTGGTATTGTTTTCTAGATCGGTATTTAGGCTACAATCTAATCTCCGTAGCTCCGGAAGACTAAGAGAAGACCACCTTCACTTGTCCTTATAGGACTTTCGCGTTCAAAAGGATGCCATTTGGGTTATGTAATGCTCCAGTGACCTTCCAACATTGTATAATGTCAATAATTTCAGATATGGTGGAGGACACAATTGAGGTATTTATGGATGATTTCTTTGTGGTAGGTGACTCATTGGATTGTTGTTTGATGCATTTGGCCGAGGTATTAAAACGTTGTGAAGAGTGCAATATTGTGCTCAATTGGGAAAAATGCCTCTTCATGGTCCAAGAGGGTATAGTTCTGGGTCATCGACTTTCGCAAAAAGGTATTGAGGTTGATAGATCCAAAGTTGAGGTAATAGAAAAGCTTCCACCACCAATCTCTGTAAAAGGTGTTCAAAGTTTTCTTGGGCATGCATGTTTCTACTGGAGTTTCATAAAAGATTTCTCAAAAGTTGCACATCCATTGTGCAAGCTACTCGAAAAGTAGTGTAAGTTTGATTTTGGTGATGCTTGTATGAAAGTATTTGGGGAGTTGAAATCCATGTTAACTTCCGCACTTATCATTATTTCACCGGATTGGGGGAAATCGTTTGAAGTGATGTGTGATGCAAGTGGGGTGGCGCTTGGGGTAGTATTAGGACCGAGACGAGAGAAGATTCTTCATCCGATTTACTATGCCACCAAAGCTCTGAATGTGGCTCAAAATAAATATATTGTGATCGAATAGGAACTCCTTGCTGTGGTTTTTGCATTCTAGAAGTTTAGGTCGTACTCTCTTGGTTCTAAGGTCATAGTGCATACTGAACATTCTGCATTTAGGTATTTGATGGCTAAAAAGGATGCAAAACCAAGATTCATTAGATGGGTACTTTTGTTTCAAGATTTCGAGTTTGAGGTAAATGATAGAAAGGGGAGAGAAACCAGGTTGTTGATCATTTTTCCAGATTAGAGGAAGAGGCTATGAACAAGTTTTAGGATGGAGTTGAGATTAATGATGTGTTAACTAATGAACAAGTTATTGGCTGCTCCTTATGATCTTATCCCTTGGTTCACAAATTTTGCAAACGAATTGGCAAGTGATTCGGTTCCGTTAGATTTGTCATTCCACCAAAGAAAAAAAATCTATGTCTGATGTTAAAAAATTCTTTTAGGATGAGCCTTACTTGTTTTGTGTTTGTGCTGATGCGATTATTTGTCGTTGTGTGCCCGAGGTTGAGATGATGAGTAAACTAGAGGTGTGTCATTCGTCGCCTGTTGGTTGGCACCATAGTGATATCTGAATTACCTATAAAATTTTGCAATATGGGTATTACTGGTCTACCATCCACCAAGATGCTCATGATTTCGCAAAGTCTTGTGACCGGTGCCAACGTGAAGGAGGAATTTCAAAAAGGCAAGAACTATCGATGAACCTAATACTGGTAATTCAGCCTTTTGACGTTTGGGGTCTTGATTTCATGGGTCCTTTTGTGAGTTCAAATGGGATGAAGTTCATTCTTGTTACGGTTGACTATGTATTGAAATGGTTGGAAGTAGTTGCACTTTCAAACAATGAGGGAAAGAGTGTCAGTATATTCCTGAAAAAGAATATCTTCTCCAGATTTGGTACACCAAGGGCAATCATAAGCGATGGAGGTTCTCACTTTTGTAATAAGTTGCTTAAGGTGTTACTTGAGAAGTATGGTGTTCGCCACAACGTAGCAACCCCGTATCATCCGCAGTCAAGTGGGAAACTTGAAGTGTCGAATCGTGAAATAAAGTAAAATCTTGCAAATAATGTAAATTTTAACAGAACTGATTGGTCAAGGAGCCTTGATGACGCTTTATGGGCTTACCGCACTGCAATAAAAATTGCCATAGGTATGTCCCCCTACGAACTTGTATATGGGAAGTCTTGCCATCTACCTGTGGAGCTAGAGCATAAAGCAATGTGGGTGCTAAAAAAGTTGAATTTGCATAGGGGTGCCGCATAGATTGTGTTTTGCCTAAAAGCATATGAGAGTTCAGGCTTGTACAAGTAGAAGATGAAGAAGTACCATCATAAAAAGATCGAAAGACATGAATTCGTTGTGGGTGATTTGCTGCTCTTATTTGATTCAAGGTTGCACTTGTTTCCTGGCCAAGTGGACCGGGCCATTAAAAGTAACTCAAGTATTTCCACATGGAGCGATTGAGCGCGAGAACAATGAAGGAACAAGGTTCAAGGTGAACAGACAGAGGATAAAAATCTACTTGGGGAAATCTAAGAGTATCAATGAAGTGATAGAGGCTTGGCACCTTATCAATTAAAGTGTCTGCGTCGTGCCGCGAAGTTAAATCAAGCGCTTCATGGGAGGCAACCCAAGATGTACAATCTAGACAACTATAGGAGTTTTCTTTTTAATTTCGTAGTTGTTTAGATAGGTGTTTATCATGTTTTATATTCTGTGTTGTCTAGCTATAGATAGAATAATGTATGTGTCTAAAAGGAGTTTCCAGAAAATGTAAAAAGGAAGGCCTAATGTTTATTATGTGTAGAGGGATCAAAAGGCAAAATCTGTAGAAAATAAGCTGCTGCAGTGGTCTATGGGTCCCATCGACGGTCCGCTGGTCAATCCATGGACCATGGATGGCATCCGTAGATCCTAGGTAAGTTTCGAATCTTTTCTAACTGTTAGAGTGACCTACGGACCCCATTGAAGGACCGTAGGTCGACCCACAGACCGTCGACGGGGTATTGTGGGTCCAAGTTATGTTTCTGCCTGA